AGGTAAGCCAATTCATGATGAGTGTGCTCACATCTTACATAGGAAGTTAGGACATGCCAGTTTTCCTGTAGTGCAAAAAATGATTGAACACGCAGAAGGTGTCAAAATAAAAAATTGTGAAAACTATTTGGAATGCTCAGTATGTAAATCTACAAAACTAAAAACTAGTCCCAGGCCAAGAAAATCTACTAGAACAACTAACAAAATTTTTGACTTAGTACACATGGACCTAGTTGGCCCATTAACTCCATCAATCACTTATAGAAAACGTTACTTCCTGACAATAGTAGACGATTATAGCCGCTATGGGTTTGTTTACACATTAAAACACAAAGATGAAACCTTTCAAAAATTTAAGGAATTTTACAAACGCATAGAAACACAACACAATATCAGAATAAAACAAATTATGACAGATAGGGGATGTGAATTCATGTCCAAAGAATTCTCCCAATGGTTAAAAGATAGAGGAATGCTACATTACACGTCCAGTCCATTTTCTGCGTTCCAGAACGGAATTGCAGAGAGGAAAAATTCCACTTTACAAACCATGATTAGGTGCACATTGGAGGATGCTGGCTTAAGCAAACAATTTTGGTCAGAAGCCTTACATTATTCAAATTACACACAAAATAGAACCTGGTCCCGTATTGTAAATAAGACACCATATGAAGTAATGTATAATAGGAAACCAAAATTAGCACACATGCACATATTTGGAGTCACTGCAGACGTACACATACCTAAACAGTTGAGAAGGAAGGGAGAAAACGTATCCAGAAGACTCAGATTTATGGGATATGAAACTGGCACCAAAGGGTACAGATTCATTGATAATAATAACAAATTTATAGTTTCCAGAACAGCTGTGTTCCATGAACAGGCCAACTGGTCTAAATTACATCTTAATGAAATATTTCCAAATAAATGCAAAGATACAAAATCTCATGAGGAAGGGACCATAGAAAAACAAAATATCAACAAATATAAAAGCAAAACCAAAACTTGGACAAATAGCCAACACAAAATAAAGACAGACACACTAACAAAAAAGGAAGCAAGATATTTGCATGATAACAATAGCAAACCTGAAAGAGCCATTAGGAACAACAGAAATCAAACACCAAATAAATACAGAGATTACATAATGCATATGGATGGTGAACCGATAACACCTAATACATATGAGGAAGTGTTAAAACTTCCTCATGAAGAAAAAGAAAAATGGGAACTTGCTATGAAGAAAGAGATGGAAAGTTTACAAGGATTAAATGTATTTACACCTGCAATTGCACCTAAAGATAAAACAATTATTGGTACCAGGTGGATATATAAAATTAAGAACTTAGAAGGAGGCAATACTCTATACAAAGCTAGATTAGTTGCACAAGGTTATGCACAGAAATATCCGGAGGACTATACTGAAACGTATTCCCCCACAGTAAGAACTGAGAGTGTCAAAACAGCTCTAGTGGTAGCATCAGCACTCAACCTTGATGTATTTCAATATGACATACAGACTGCGTATCTACACGCGAAACTAGATAAGGAAATATATGTAAGAGCACCTCACAGTCAGTACACCAACAAAAATGAAATTTGGCTGTTAAACAAAAGTTTATACGGATTAAAACAATCAGGTAAAAGATGGTATGACTGTTTAGTAAAAGTACTTAAGACCATGGATTTCAATGCCACCACTGCTGATAACTGTTTCTTTGTCAAAAAGGGTGATGATTACACTGAATTTGTGTTGATTTATGTAGATGACATTTTGTATATAGGAAAACACAAAGAGAGAAGAGAAACTTTTGTAAATAAGTTAAATGAACTTTTCTCGTTGAAATCTCTAGGTAAAGTGAACAAATATCTTGGTGTCCAAATTAATAAGACTAGAAAGGGATTCAAACTTACTCAGAGAGATAAGATTATAGAACTTTTAAATAAATGCAATTTAAACAATGCCAAACCTTGTGATACTCCTATGCAAACTGATTTTCTTAGAAATACTGATGAATCTTCTCCTGAATTCAAAGATAACACATTTTATAGATCAATCATAGGTTCACTTCTTTATATATCTAATTGGACTAGACCAGATATCGCCTTACCACTCAATTTATTATCCAGACACGTCAGCAAACCAACAATGTATCACTGGGAAGCTGTTAAAAGGATTTTAAGATATCTGAAATGTACACTAGATTTTTGCTTAGTATTAGAACCTAGTGATAATAAAGAACCAAAGCTTGCATGTTACGCAGATGCGGACTGGGCTGGTGACACATCATGCAGAAAAAGTACATCTGGTTATATTTTTTTCTTAAATGACTGTCCAGTTTACTGGTACACTGGTAAACAAGAACTAGTAGCCACTTCAACGACAGAAGCGGAATATGTTTGTTTATCCAAAGCTGCAAATAACCTTGTATGGTTTAATGATTTAATTTCAGATGTTTGGAAAAAACCTGCTTTGCCTTTTGTTATGCATGAAGACAATAAAGCAGCCATTGAAATATCTAGATCCGATGCCATTGGACAAAGGTCCAGGCATATAGATATAAAATTTAAACATGTGAGACAATTATCTCAGGATGGATTTATTAAAGCAGTGCATTGTGATACTTCAGAACAATTAGCTGACATATTGACAAAGCCTTTACCTTCTAAACAGCACAAATATTTAACTTCTAAATTGTATGTCTTGTATTGTCCTGAATCTGAATGTAATTGGTGTTGTATAACGAATCGGCATTTAGAGGGGGATTTGTCAGATGTAAATGCCTTATTCTATAATGTGTAAATAGTATATGAATGGGATATCAGGGGTTAACTTATCCTTCTATTCTTAATGTATTCATATTTCACCACTCCCTCATGTAGCTCCACCCACTGTATATATAAGGAGCCACCTTCACCCTTTTCCTTGCTTCTATCTGTGAATATTCAGTGAATATAGAATGCCTATTGTAAATAAAAGGAAGTATATTTAAACCTTTAACTCTTACTATTATTATTGAGTCTGATCCTAAAAATATTGCAACATTTTTTGATGTTTTTGATGTTAGGTGAATAATGTTCAAACATTATTTACATCCAAAGTTCTTTGCCACTGAATCATAAAATGCTGTACATAGTCATCCTCCATGTTCCTCTACAGTTTATAAACCTTAAAAATAGCACTCCCTTGGAGTATCTTGACTTGATGGGGCTGCCAGGTCCTAAAATCTTGGGAGACACAGAAAATCAGTTTTAAACTTTTGGGATATAGAGAGGCGTTGATCTCTATTGAGAGTCACCCCCTAAAATAGCAAATTCTGTCCAAAAAAAAAAAATTCTGTCAATGATTACTTCAGCTTCAACCACAACAATACCTGAGCAAATAAGAGATACAAACTCAAGGTAAACTGCTCCAAATTCAATTGCAGAAAATACGACTTCAGCAACAGACTGGTCAATGTGTGGAATGCACTAGCAGACTCTCTGGTTTCTTCCCCAAACCCCCAAAACTTTAACCTTAGACTGTCTACTGTTGACCTCACCCCATTCCTAAGAGGTCTGTAAGGCATAAGCGCACCATCTTCCCTGTCCTAATGTCCCTTTTTACTCTTATTCTTTTCATGTATTCCAATTACGTTTATGCTTTTATATGTTTTCTTATATATGATTGACAAATAAAATAAAATAAAATAAAATGTCATGAACTTTCATGGCTCAGCACGTAGCTAATCTTCGTAAGTTTAGAGGTATCACATTTCACTCTTTTGTTTGGGTCAGTTGCCAGAAGTCAAAAATGACGGTAGCATTTAATCAGTGAAAACCTCTTGCAACCGCCTTAGATAAGAGAGGGGACAAGCGCGTTTTTCTGCCTGTCTGGAGATGGCGCTGAAACAGGCAACACCAGTGGCTAGAAAGCGGACAGTACAGCAGGCGGCGCCTGTGGTTGTGTTTAAGGAGTTAAAATCATCAAGTACTGCATTGCTAGAAAGGCTGGGAGGAGAGGAACTTCCTCTTCCGGATGGCTGATGGGAGGAAGTTGGTGTGCAGAGCGGCTTTTGTGCTGTTTCCATGGTGGAAGCAGCAGCTGGCAGGTGAGTGGAGGGCAGCAGGTGGGAGGAGAGTCCGGGAGCAACTTGGGCTGGAAGCGGAGAAGCAACTGGGCTGAAGCCTCTCAGCTGCGGCTGCTGCAGGTTCCTTCCCTCCCCAAATGGAAGCCCACTGGTGCTGCAGGCTGGGAAACTGGGGGCTGCAATTTCTGCTGGTGGGAAGCTTGAAAAAGCCTCCTTCCAATGCAGGTTGAGCCTTTGGGGCTGGTTTCCCTCCAGAGGGAGCTCCGTCACTGGAGGTTTGGAAGAGAGCTGGAAGAAACCTTGGAGGTCTTAATGACGTCTCAGACAAATGGCTGTCCCGTCGGTTTAAAAGCCACCAGCAATGGAGCCCCCACAACCTCTGGAGGGAAGCCATTCCCGAAGAATCAACCTTCACTCAAAAGAGACTTTTTCAGTCTTCCAGGCAGCAGAAAATTGCAGCCATTCCCTTCCACTGGCTAATTGTTCTCACTGATGGGATTTTTCCTTAATTCCAGGTGTTTTTCTCTCCTTGATTAGTTTCCATGCATTGCTTCTTGTCTTGTCCTTCTGGTGCTTTGGAAAAGAAGTTGACCCTCCAAGTATTGGAACACTGCTATCATGTCACCCCTAGTCCTTCCTTTCACTAGACGATTCATTCCCAATTACTGCAACCCACTAATTATCCCTTCTGCTCTTCTCTGCGCTCTTTATAGAGTCTGGATGCCTTTTTTATATTGTGGTGATGAAAAGTGGTTGAAGTAATCCAAGCGTGATCTTAATTTAAAGCATTATAAATTGGTACTAATACTTCATGTGATCTCGATTCTATCCCTCTGTTTAGGCAGCCAGAGTTTCTCAGGCTTCTTGAGTTGTTTTCCCATTGATTGATTGATTGATTGATTGATTGATTGATTGATTGGTTCGATTTATATGCTGCCCTTCTCCGGAGACTCAGGGCGACTTACAATGCGTTAAGCAATAGCCTTCATACTTTTGTATATACCTGCTTAGTAGGGCTTTCGCACCCCCCCCCCAAGCGGTGTTCTTTTTTATACAAAGTTAGCTTATTGCCCCCACAATCCAGGTCCTTATTTTACCTACCTCGAAAGGATGGAAGGCTGAGTCAACCTTGAGCCTGGTGAGATTTTAATTTGCAGTAATTGCAGGCAGCTGGTGCTAGTTAACAGCACTTTAGTCTGCTGCGCCACCAAGGCTCTTGTATAAGATTTTCATCCATGGAATCCTTCCCAAGCTGTCTCTTGGTTTGTTAAATCAGCTGCTTTAAAGTCTAAGATTTTACTCTATTGCTTGTGTCTGCATTATAATGAATTCCAGTATGCACATGGTCACTCTTCCCCCTATTTATCTGCAACTTCAACCCCATCTCCCTTATTATTTTCTCTCTGCTAGTAAAAATTTGCAAGTTGGCACTGTCATGTGACATCATGCTTCATGACCGGCTGCTTAGTGACACAGAAGCCAGTCCCAACTGCACTCAGTAAGTCAGGATTGCTTGAATTGGGATGCCACCAGAAGGGGTTGTAGACAGCATTTTCTTCTCTTATTTGCAGCTGAGGACTTTCATGAGCAAAACTGGTGCTTCAAATCTTGCAGAGGCTTTTGGCATCATTTCCTCAGTTAAAGCCCCCACATCTCTAAATTTAACTCAGAAGGTTTGAGATTAACCATTTTGGGACATTTTGTCAGGCTGAAAACTCATGGAGCTTCCACATATATCATTTCTAGGTGTTTCTATCTGTATTTCTTTCTGTATGCATATATCTGCAATTATATAATCTATCGTCAGTACATCCAGATATATTTGAGGATAACCCTTTGCAGTGCCAAGAATTTATGATAGACCCAAGTCAACAACATAATTTCATGGTTGAATAGATATCTTGGTACTCTTCCATGTGTCAAATGAATCATAATTAATGTAAGAGATTATTCTGGCATTGTGGCATGTTTGCTTATTTGTTGTATTTTTTTTCACATCTTATGTAACCATTTTATACACAATTAAATTTACACTTTTCTTTGAAACTTATAGACAAAGAGGATGGCAAAAAGAGCACTCTGGACAATTGAGAATAACAAGCAACGTTGAAAAGGAAATAAAATTGAGCCAGAAATCAAAATATATTCCAGTTCCTTCAGAAAACCACACAATTCTCCTTCTGCAGCAGCTAATAGAGAACAGAGAGAAAATTAACATGAGATTTTGAGCTGGAAAAAGTAGAGGATACGAAACTCAAGGACACATTGCATGAAAGATCAAGGAAGGTTATTTTTCACTCAGAAAAAGATGGAAATATCTGGAAGTTAGGGGGAAGGAAAAGGTCTTATTGGGCAGGGCACATAGGACAGACAATGATACAGGCCTTGCTCTGGGAAGAAGCAAGCAGCTGTAATCAAAACACTACTAAACAATAGTAGATCTAAACAATAGATCACACATATTTTTGACCTCAAGAATATCAGTTGTGGAAAAGCTCCATAGATCTGCCTATTGAAGAAAAAACACAGATTGCAAATCATAGCTGATTAAACAAGAAGATCCCAACTGTAGAAAAGCCATACAAATTATCTGAATATGGCAAAAGGTTTGGTCAGAGCAGCTTCCTTGTGGTACATATAACGACCCACACAGGAGAGAAGCCATACGAGTGCTCCCAATGTGAATACATTAGTGAGCATGGCAACATGGTGATACATCACAGGACGCCCATCACATAAGAGTGTCCAAATTGTGTGAAAGTTTCATTGGAAATTACCATCTCATGAGACAACAAAGGACTCACACAGGAGAGAAACCCTTTCAATGCCCTATCTGTGGGAAAGGTTTCAGTCGCAATTCCAGCCTGCTGGCACACCAGAGAACTCACACAGGTGAGAAACCATTTGAATGTCCTGATTGTAGGAAAAGTTTCAGTCAAAATTCCAGCCTGGTGACACACCAGAGGAGTCACACAGGAGAGAAACCATTTGAATGTCCTGATTGTGAGAAAAGGTTCAGTACAAATTCCAATCTGGTGACACACCAGAAGACTCACACAGGAGAGAAATCCTTTCAATGTCCTGATTGTGGGAAACGTTTCAGTCAGAATTCGAGCCTGGTGACACACCAGAGGACTCATACAGAAGAGAAATCCTTTCAATGTCCTGATTATGGGAAAAGTTTCAGTCAGAATTATAAGGTGGTGACACACCAGAGGACTCATAGGGGAGAGAAACCATTTGAATGTCCAGATTGTTGGAAAAGGTTCAGTAAAAATTCCAATCTGGTGTCACATCAGAGGACTCACACAGGAGAGAAACCATTTGAATGTCCTGATTGTGGGAAAAGTTTCAGTCAGAATTCCAATCTGGTGGCACATCAGAGGACTCACACAGGAGAGAAACCATTTGAATGTCCTGATTGTGGGAAAAGCTTCCTTTGGAATTCTGAGCTGGTGAGACACCAGAGGAATCACACAGGAGAGAAACCATTTGAATGTCCTGATTGTGGGAAAAGTTTCAGTCGCAATTCTGAGCTGGTGATACACCAGAGGACTCACACAGGAGAGAAACCATTTGAATGTCCTGATTGTGGGAAAAGTTTCAGTCAGAATTCCAATCTGGTGGCACACCAGAAGACTCACACAGGAGAGAAACCATTTGAATGTCCTGATTGTGGGAAAAGCTTCCTTTGGAATTCTGAGCTGGTGAGACACCAGAGGACTCACACAGGAGAGAAACCATTTGAATGTCCTGATTGTGGGAAAAGGTTCAGTAACAATTCCACCCTGGTGAAACACCAGAGGACTCACACAGGAGAGAAACCATTTGAATGTCCTGATTGTGGGAAAAGTTTCAGTCAGAATTCCAATCTGGTGGCACATCAGAGGACTCACACAGGAGAGAAACCATTTGAATGTCCTGATTGTGGGAAGAGTTTCAGTAACAATTCCACCCTGGTGAAACACCAGAGGACTCACACAGGAGAGAAACCATTTGAATGTTCTGATTGTGGGAAAAGTTTCAGTCAGAATTTCAATCTGGTGGCACACCAGAAGACTCACACAGGAGAGAAACCATTTGAATGTCCAGATTGTGGGAAAAGGTTCAGTAAAAATTACAATCTGGTGTCACACCAGAGAACTCACACAGGAGAGAAACCATTTGAATGTCCTGATTGTGGGAAAAGTTTCAGTCAGAATTCCAATCTGGTGGCACATCAGAGGACTCACACAGGAGAGAAACCATTTGAATGTCCTGATTGTGGGAAAAGCTTCCTTTGGAATTCTGAGCTGGTAAGACACCAGAGGAATCACACAGGAGAGAAACCATTTGAATGTCCTGATTGTGGGAAAAGTTTCAGTCACAATTCTGAGCTGGTGATACACCAGAGGACTCACACAGGAGAGAAACCATTTGAATGTCCTGATTGTGGGAAAAGTTTCAGTCAGAATTCCAATCTGGTGGCACACCAGAAGACTCACACAGGAGAGAAACCATTTGAATGTCCTGATTGTGGGAAAAGCTTCCTTTGGAATTCTGAGCTGGTGAGTCACCAGAGGACTCACACAGGAGAGAAACCATTTGAATGTCCTGATTGTGGGAAAAGGTTCACTAAAAATTCCACCCTGGTGAAACACCAGAAGACTCACACAGGAGAGAAACCATTTGAATGTCCTGATTGTGGGAAAAGTTTCAGTCACAATTTCAACCTGGTGACACACCAGAGGACTCACACAGGAGAGAAACAATTTGAATGTCCTGATTGTGGGAAAAGCTTCCTTTGGAATTCTGAGCTGGTGAGACACCAGAGGACTCACACAGGAGAGAAACCATTTGAATGTCCTGATTGTGGGAAAAGTTTCAGTCGCAATTCCAGCCTGGTGAGACACCTGAGGACTCACACAGGAGAGAAAATATACGAGTGCCCAGATTGTGGGAAAGATTTCACTACTAAGACTAGCCTTTTAAATCATGTTAAATCACACGGGAGAAACCATTTAAGTGCCCCAAGAGTGGACGGTGCTTCAGGAAACATTCCACTCTTATTGCACACAAGAAAATGCGCATGGATTTTCCAAAGTGATGAAAGATGACTTAAAGCAGTGGTTCCCAAAGGGGCCATACCAAAGTGGGGGGCGGTGGGATGACTTAGGGGGGCAGTAAGATGCAAGGGGGCTGGCAGGGGGGCGCTAGAGGCAAAAGGGGGCGGCAGGGGGGCGCTAAGTGGCAAGGAGGGTGGCCCCCACCCTTTGGCCTGTGCCTCGCAGCAGTTACCTCCTTGCAAGCAAACAGCAAGAAAAAACAGCTGCTTTCAGCTTCAGCACAGGCTAATTAGCACAGGTTGATTAGATTGGCGTCCAGACTCTCTCAGCTGTCTTGTGCAGGGCTCTGCTGCTTGCTGCAAAGAGTGTTGGAGCAGATTTTTTTTCCTCTTGTGCTAATCAAGCTATGCTGAAAACGAAACTGAAAGTAAAGCAGGCTGTTTGCTGTTTGCTGCAAGGAAATATTAGGCAGAGGCAGAGGGAGAATTCTTTTTCTTCTTTTTCCTCACTAAAAAAGGCAGGTGCAAACAATGGGAAATTTAGGGCAAGAGAGGAGAGTTCAAGATTTGAAAACACAAAAGAAAAAAAAGAGAAAGAAAAAGGCAAAAATAAAAATGGGAAGGGAGAAAAAGAAAAAGAAATGAATGAGAAAGATGTTATACATATTTAGAATTGAAATATGAATAGTAGTAAGAAATAAATGGGAAATCATGATTGTAAAAATGAAATGAATAATAATTGGAATATTTGTCTTTGTATTTTTGAAATCTAGACAATGATAAGTTTTCTTTTTTCTTTTTTTTAGAAATATAAATAAGTATAAACTGTAACAATTGAAATACCTTTAATGGTGTATGGTGGTGAAAGTAAAAAGGATTAAGTTGTAGCTTGGATAACATTGTTCTATTTTTCATTAACAGCATTTTCACACATAATTTCTACAACTAGCATCCTTCTCTTTATTAACAAATTTACGTTTTCACTGACTCTTAACCATTTTCTTAGTCTCTCCACAGTTCTCTTTCTTGATGTTTTCCTCCCTTTCTTCCATTTCTTTACCTTCTTTTTCCTGTTCTTATATCTCCCCTTCAGCCTTTTTCCTTTAATTTTAACTCTATTATTTTCATTCTCAATCTTACCCCATTTATTTCTCTTTTCTTCATATTTGAGATGTATTTTCCCATATCCATTTTTATTCTATCACTATTAAACCCAGTGTGATCATCTTTATCTTTTTTTCCCAATTATTTCCTTTTCAATATTATCTCCTTGTTTCTCTTTCTTCTCATTCATCTTTTCTCTTTTTTTTGCAAGCTAACCAATTCTCTGCTTCTTTATTTCCCTTAAATGCTTCCCTTACTTTTTGAAACATCTTCCTTAGTGACTCATATTCATCCTCCCAATTATCCATATTTTCAATGCTAAAAGGCTAGGATTTTTAAGCTTATTCTTTTCATTTCCATATGTGGGGGTGGGATGCTTTTCAAGGAGCCACAAGGGGGGCTGAGAGCAGAGTCATTCTGACAGTGTCTTTTAAAATTGCTTGGAAGACCCATTTTTTCCCTAACAATAATGGTTTGTATACTTTGGAATAAAACATATACCTGGAAAAAGTACTTGCAAAACTTTGACAGAAGGAAAAGGAAGGCAGGACTGGACTCATAATCAGTAGCTAGTAGTTAATTGTTATCAGTGACTTCCGCTGATTTTAAACTCATTTTAAGACTGGGATTGGTGGCTACTGAAATATTCAACATTGGTCTCAGAAATCTTTGATTTGAACTATCAAACCTCTGATTTGAACTATCAAATCTTTGATTTGATCTTTGATTTGAACTATCAAATCTTTGATTTGAACTTTGATTTGAACTATAGCAAGAAAAATTGTAAAATGGGGCAAAACTCACTTAACCATAATAATTTCTAGATATTTTAAGTGTAGAGAATTCAAGTGTTGAGAATGACCCATTATTTCATCTCTTTTTCCGCACTAGGTACCACTATTTGATTTCTTTTCCTTTTATTCAAATAACAACAGAAAACCCAATACAGTTCAGTATGAATTGGCTTTCCAGTCCTTCCTTGATGCACTTTTTTACATTGGTTATCTAGTTTAAATGTCAAAGGAAAATCAATGATATATTTTTCAGACCTTTGGAGGATCACACTGCTCAAGCAAAATTAATGGGTGTGAATTAAATTTTAGCTAAAAAATGGAGCTTTAATTCCAGAAGTCTATTCTTTAAACTTGGACTTCTGGAATTCAAAGGCTCTGGATTAAATGGTACTCCAGACAAAAGATGGAGAAGAGTATCTTGCTTTTAGACATGATGATAGCTGTCTAGAAAGGTGAGTTATGAGCTATTTTTACAGCATCAGAAATTTAATTTATTACCTGTTAAAAATGCAAAGACAAGGAGCAAATAAAAGACCTTCATGTTGGGGTTGGTTCTGGACCAAATCTTACTTGTGGGACAGAAACCAGCTCTCAGCCCTCCTTGTGACTTCTTGAAAAGCATCCCCCCCACACGCTCCACCGCCTGAGGAGGCAGGGGAGGGCTTCAGGTTGATCCCAAGGGGGTCTGGGAATGGGTGTGAATTCATCCCACAGCCCTCTCCATCCCCTCCTCTGTGAAATTGCTTTCTCCCACTCGCTGGTGGTCAGCAAATTCAAAAGGAACCCCCAGCTGAGAATCACTGCTCTAGATCGGTTGATTCAGGGGATTTCTTTAGTGTTAACTAATAGTGTTAGCTATTTTTGTTACAGGGATAAATTTGTATTAGAGCAGCCCGCAGACCTCCCAAAGATTTTGAGGTGGGGAAAGGAAAGTGTCAGCATTTCTGTAAACATTGGGACAATGTAATGCAAAGCTCTCTTGCCAACACATGGGAGACCTTTCCTGTTCTTTCATTTCTCTCCCAGGACTCCTTAATTTGTTTAAAAAATTCCTTCAATCAAAGGGGAACATTATTTGTAGCAGTGAAAGTGATATTTTAGCTATGCAGATGGATTATCTTGATTTTGCTGGGATTGGAAGACACCAAAGAATTCCAAGATCATTCATTTGACCCACAAGATTCAAAAAGACAGGTTACAATGTTTTTTAGTAGGTCACATTGCATCTGATCCCTTTGAAGGATACTCGGTGATCAGGAGCAGATCAGGACTGGCATGTGGAGAAACCAAGATGTAACTCAATGATCTTTCTGGATAATCACTGGGGACTTTCCATGACTGAGAATAGGATACGATAGGATAGGATTGAATGGAAATGAATTCTTTATTGGCCAAGTGTGATTGGACACAAGGAATTTGTCTTTGGTGCATATGCTCTCAGTGTACATAAAAAGACAAGATACATTTGTCAAGAATCACAAGGAACAATACTTAATGATAGTCATAGGGTAGAAATAAGTAATCAAATCATAGTAGGAAACAATATAAATTGTAAGGATACAAGCCACAAAGTAACAGTCATACAGTCATAAGTGGGAGGAGATGGGTGATAGGAACAATGGGAAGATTAATAGTAATAGTAATTCAGACTTAGTAAATAGTTTGACAGTGTTGAGGGAATTATTTGTTTAGCAGAGTGATGGCCTTCAGTAAAAAACTGTTCTTGTGTCTAGTTGTTCTGGTGTGCAGTGCTCTATAGCGTCATTTTCAGGGTAGGAGATAAAACAGTTTAGGGGTCTGTAAATATTTTGACAGTCTCTTTTTGACTCATGCAGTATACAGGTCCTCAATGGAAGGCAGGTTGGTAGTAATTGTTTTTTCTGCAGTTCTAATTATCCTCTGAAGTCTGTGTCTGTCTTGTTGGGTTGCAGATTCAAACCAGACAGTTATAGAGGTGCAGAAGAGACACTCAATAATTCCTTTTTAGAACTGTATCAGCAGTTCCTTGGGCAGTTTGAGCTTCCTGAGTTGGCACAGAAAGAACATTCTTTGTTGTGCTTTTTTGATGATAGGTGTCCATTTTAGGTCTTGAGATATGATAGAACCTAGAAATTTGAAGGTCTCTACTGTTGATACTGTGTTGTCTAGTATTGTGAGAGGTGGAAGTATGGTAGGGTTTCTACTAAAGTCTACCACCATTTCTACGGTTTTGAGTGTGTTCAGTTATAGGTTGTTCCAGTCACACCACAAGGCTAGTTGTTCAACCTCCCGTCTTTATGCAGATTCATCATTGTCTCGAATGAGACCAATCTCTGTTGTATCATCTGCAAACTTCAGTAGTTTATTTTTTTTTATTGAAAAAGTTTTTCAAATACAAATTTTCCCCCTTTTTCCCCCCCTCCTCCCTAACCCCCCTCACCCTCCCCTTCCCCTTTGACTTCTTCATAATAAAACCCAAATTCATAACAGATTATATCATACTTTACCATCCACTTACTCCATCTCCATATGCTGACCCTTTCTTTCTAATAAAATTATCATATCCCCCTTTTACTATACTATAATATACATTTCAAAGTGACATTCTATTATAACATTGTCTAATAACTCCTAATTTAACATAATAATATTATTATGTCTCCCAATTTAACAATTTCTGCTCATGATCTACCCTTTTACTACCCCCCATACGATATAACATTTCAAAACATACTTCCACTCTAAGACTATACAATAAATCCTAATTTAACATTTATTCAGTTCAGCTACCCATTTCCTTCCCCCCCATCATTATATCTCTTAACTCAAATCTTTTACATATATTCACTTCTAAACATAATATCCCTTTTCTTTAAACTAAACAATCAATAACCTAACCTATCTCCACCCACTTTCCTACAAAACTACCATAATTGTTCTTAATATCTTTATTCTTCTACCCACTCCACTAGAAAAATATTCCCTTGTGTAAATAAAATCCTAAAAGAAAAAAACTTTAGGCTTGTAATCCATATAATATCTTCTGTAATGTCTTTCAACTGGATGATAAACTCCATCGCCCGTGTTAGGGTAACATCGCATCCTAATTCCAACAGTATTTTCAGTATCTTCAATTACCATCTGCCCCCATCACTAACAAATATCTTCATATTGGAAAAAGAAAAAAAAGAAAAAAACACGACAACCACCCGAGTGACT